GTGCCTACGCCCAAGGGGAGATATGGGGAGATCTCGTGCCTACGCCCAAGGGGAGATATGGGGAGATCTCGTGCCTACGCCCAAGGGGAGATATGGGGAGATCTCGTGCCTACGCCCAAGGGGAGATATGGGGAGATCTCGTGCCTACGCCCAAGGGGAGATATGGGGAGATCTCGTGCCTACGCCCAAGGGGAGATATGGGGAGATCTCGTGCCTACGCCCAAGGGGAGATATGGGGAGATCTCGTGCCTACGCCCAAGGGGCGGTGCTGCCAGTGAGAGGCTGCCCGTGCCTCGCCGGGCGGAAGCGCGGGGCGGGGCGGGCATGCTCGATGATTCTAGGAAGAGTCTAGGAAGTGTCTAGGAGGTGTCTAGGAAGCTCTAGGCGGGCGTGCTCGATGATTCTAGGAAGAGTCTAGGAAGTGTCTAGGAGGTGTCTAGGAAGCTCTAGGCGGGCGTGCTCGATGATTCTAGGAAGAGTCTAGGAGGTGTCTAGGAGGTGTCTAGGAAGCTCTAGGCGGGCGTGCTCGATGATTCTAGGAAGAGTCTAGGAGGTGTCTAGGAGGTGTCTAGGAAGCTCTAGGCGGGCGTGCTCGATGATTCTAGGAAGAGTCTAGGAAGTGTCTAGGAGGTGTCTAGGAAGCTCTAGGCGGGCGTGCTCGATGATTCTAGGAAGAGTCTAGGAGGTGTCTAGGAGGTGTCTAGGAAGCTCTAGGCGGGCGTGCTCGATGATCCGCTTGCCGCCCTGCTCGCGCCCCTCGGCGTAGAGCAGCGACTCGTTGAGCCCGCGCTTGCCGAGCGCTGCCGCCCAGAGCCCAACCTCGATCCGCATCGCATTCATCATCTGAAACATCGCGCTCAGCCCCTGGTGCGGCTCGCCCACAAGGTAGCCAGTCGCGCCGCCGGCGCCGCCGCCGAGCGACCAGGCGCAGTTCGGCAGGGCGCGGTGGCCCATCTTCTTGTTGAGGCCGACCACCTAGGGAGTGTCTAGGAACTGTCTAGGAAGTGTCTAGGAACTGTCTAGGAAGTGTCTAGGAAGTGTC